AAAAATATTCGCAATAAGAGTTAACCTCTCGCGAATAATTAATTTCGAATTATTATTATCGGAGAAATAATCGAATGTTGAGTCTCGATTCAAATTCTTACCAAAAAATTTATCCTCGAAAATTAATTAAACGTTAAACGTTACATGACATGGGGGGTCGAGGCGATTCGTTGGTGTCGGTCGCACTACGAAATTTCACTACCTTCCGGAACAACCAAAATATCGTCTCTTTGATCAGCATGATCGTGGCTGCGACAGCTCTGTAAAGCGCATAGTGGAGTATAGCGTTTAAAAACGTGATACCTATGTGTGCGATTACGGAATCGGTGGTTAGCCTTAAATCGTTCATCCTGCAATTTAGAGAATTTTTATTTTTGACCTTTGATCATCGAATAAATTGCCCGATTAACTGAAATTTATCGAATTACTGACTCCATGATTCTACGCTCTGATATTCAACGCAAACGGTTGTCCAATTGATTTTGGTTATTCGTTTATTGATACTCTTGGATAATTTCATATCGTTTCAAGAACATTAGAGATTACACCTATTTTATAAGATATATATATATATATAAATAGAAGATACGAGCACTTTGTATGATATATGTATATATAAAAAAAAAAAAAAAGAAACGAATAAATTCTCGTTTCAATAAGAAGTGGCCGAAGTGTCGCTGAATTTTTGTTGGGGGGAGGATGCTCTCGGTATATGCTCGACAATCTCCGATTCCGGCTCCTCTCCGGCCTTTTTCTCGTTCTCCGCCTCGAATTCTTGATCACCGGCGGGAGGAATTTTCGGATGCGAGCGCGGATTCAATCGTTTCTTCGATTTCGCGCGATATCTGTCCTTGGTTGGCTGCTCCAACGAGGGAAACAGGTGCTCCTGCGGATTCAACGAGATCAACTTGAGAAGCTTCTCCTCCTGGGACAGAGTGCAATTCCTCCTTTGAACGCGGCCCTTCGTTGTCGTGAAAATTGGCCTCGTCGTCTCCTGAATACAACCGCAATCCAACCGCGTGATCGTCGTCATTGTGCCGCACGGCTCCAGATTCTGATATCAATTTGTTAATGAATTTTAATAGATCGTTAATTAAAATTTCTTTCTATTTTTTTTTTTACCTTATTATTAAGTTAAAAGATTCTCTTTGGTTTTCAACCAAAAACTTTTTTAATATATATATATATAGGAAACGAACGATTGAATATTTTATCGCGAAATACTTTAAGTGAAATATGTAAATGTTAGATACGTGTTTCAATCGATCTGCGGAAGACGGATGGAAGCTGGAGCTTTGCAATCTTCCAGCGGATCTAACGGACGGGGATGCAATTTTCGGGCCGAAATAATATTCCCCTATCAACCGTTTGATCTCCTGGGTGTAGTATCTCTCGCTTATGTCCCGTTTCATCTGCAACTCCTTCAGCTTTTGCAATTTTTGCATCGCGCTTAACGCTTCTGGCATCCGATACTCCGAGTAATCGTTGAATCGTTGATATCTCTCGCGAAGAGCAGTGTTATATTTCGGCAACGGTTTCGCGTAGGTCGTTTCTTCTGGATAATGATGAAACTGTACGTTCGAAATATATTAACATTTTTTAATAAATCGAGTATACGAGAGTTTCCTCATGTTCGAAGTCAGATATAAATTCATAAATTTAATATTAATTTAGTATTATTAAGTAAAATAATCAAATATGTATATAATTTTCAAAACACACGAATCGATTGAATATAAAAATCTTTCTGAGAGGTTGAAACAAATACAAAAGTTAGGGCAACGAAAAATGTGCTAATCGAGGCTTATTCACCTTTATAGAGTTATAAAGATGGATTGCAAAATCAAATTTTTATTATTTTATTTTACAAAGAGATCCGCTCTCCTCTTTGTCACATCGTAATGCTACACTTTGGATATTTTGTGTTTTTAGATCACGGTTTAATATCTAATCCAATTACGATTTAAGTTCACGCGTAATTTCGATTAATTATATAAGCCTCGATCGAAATTTCTTACACTCGTTCATACTCGTTCCCATCTCCAAAGTTGTTGTCCAACTTAATGTATTCCACATATTTGAAAACAAACAAAAATTGTCACTTTTGGCACTTACTTCCCTACATCACAATTCGACTCATACAAACACACGCACACACACAGAGATACACTCAGACAATTTAAGTAACGATGCTAAAATAAACGATGTTTATTCATACGTTATTCTTATTAGTGGCAGTTTCCTCCAACTCGGTGACAGTCTCGATGGAAGATCTCTCCTCAGGAAATTGGATATCGCGCTCGTTCGTATATTCCTGCTCGTAGTTGTTCGCGCTCTTAGCGTAACGTACCGTATTGGGATACATTTCTTTATTCCAATTATTCTCTGTCAGTGTTGCCGTGTGAGACGATTTTTCTCGACGATCGTCCATCGGTCTTCGACTCCACCTTAAATTTTAACAGAAGCGATCCCCACGAATTCGTAGAGTCGGGAATGGCGATCGAATCGGAATGGATTTAAATCTTGTTGCGTTTTTTTTTTTTCTAAGGTTATGATCAGAGAGACTTACTCGTCGGTCAATTTGCCACGAGTATGATTTGGAGACAATGTTGTCATTTTCGATCCCAATCCGTGGAACGCATCGTCGATAGAAATTTTATATAAATATTTTATGCATTTTTACGCAGAATTTGAATCGCGCGATATATCCCTCTAAATCTACGTAATTTCTCTATCTTCCATGCTGCGAATTATTGCTTTATCGACCAACTTCAACCTTCTCCGCTTTTGTATTTAATATATATATATATATATTCGAACTGATAAGTTCAATAATTTATTCGATCAAGGTGTATAACAATTACTTTTTGACTAAACGAAATTATGAAGCTCGAAACGTTTGTTAATTCGAAAGTAGAAGTATTTTTTTTTTTTCCTATTTTATTTTCTCGCAATTTGTTCGAAAAAATAAAAACAAATGATACTCGAAATTATTTGGAAAATGGTCGTGATTTATTCGTCGACTGATTACAATCAATTTAATTTTTTTATAAGGAGGCGCTCATCGCCCATGTCGGTCCAACCGAACATTTCCCGTGAATTTTGTGCTTCATAATCATTTGGCCTAATCTGTTGATCGTCTCCTGGTATTCCGACCGCCAGGGAGGTAATCGCGTTTCCTGTTCGTCCTCGATCGCTTTCTTCACTTTTTCCACCGCATCCGCAGTTTTGATCTTGGGCCGTCGAGTCGACGGTCGACAATCTATGTCCTTTTCTTCTTTCTTGGGTAGAACGCACGGCCCCATGGCCGCTTCGTCCATCATTCTCGCTGCTACAACGATATTTTAAAAATAATTTATTTTTCGATGACACGGGCTGACAAATAACACGTTAATTTTCATTGATTTCAACAAATGTGTACACTGCCACCAAAAACGTCTTATTAAAAGATACATTTGTTGTATTTTCGAAGAGATTTGTTTTCACGAAAACTGCAGATTTTTTTCCTATCTTGCTAAGAAAAGATTAAATCTCGATTGTTCCTCATTCAAAATTTACCTCTCTCGGAATAATCCAACTGGTAAGTCGTCTTTAACCGATCTTCATCCACTCGTCTAATCACTTCGTCTATGGGCGTGGTTTGCAGAATTCCATACAGATTAGGATATTTTTCCTCTAACTGAAACGATCGTTTCAACGTAACGATTTCAACAACAATTTCCTTTCTACTTTACCTTTCTCATGAATACGCTCGGCTGGTCGAATTTCGTGATATCGGTTTCCGGATGCGGGCCAGTTTTTGCAGGATACAGCTTCGGATCTAGAAGCCGCCCCATGGGACCTGTGCGGCTCCAATCGTAATCGTCCCCGCAGTGAGTGAGGGGTTTTATCTCTCGGGGAAGATCGCGGCATTTGCACGCGCCGTACTCAACCAATTCGGTTGGTTTTCGCTTAATCCTCGTCGCGGGCCACGGGTAATCTTTTTTGTACGTTGTAAGATATTGGTCCATCTTTTTTTCACTTTTTGCCTGGGTATTATTTATTACTTGTATTGTAGATTTATAGATTTCTTTTTCTTTTTTTTTTTTTATCTTATCCTTTTCCTCGCTCTAACGAAATTTCGACGAGAAGTGTACGCTTTTATCACGCGATTCATTGCTAACGCATTAAAACTATGTCATTCTCCTCTCTTCTCGGCTTCTCCTCGCAATTTGCTCGAATCATTTTCTATGGATTATTTGATTCTTCTGGTCTCCTTCCGGTGTAATAATGCTCTTTATCAATCAATTTTCTCTATTGAATTTTCTCATACTAGAATTCATCTCGGAGATTTATGAAAACGTTGACCGATCCAATCTATATATTGCCACGTTTTGCCAATCACATTTTCTGAGTTTTTAAATTTCTGTTTTAATATCTATTGTGCTTTATCTCGTTTCCTTTATACATGCTCTTTTACGTATATTTCATTTTAAAAAAATTTGTTAATTTGTGGAAGGAATTTGTTAATTTGCAGAGAGTAGTTTGAAAAGAATTTTGGTTAAACTTGGAATAGGAATTGTTGACAATCAGGCGGAATTTTGACCACGTTCACGCGTCATTTTCATTGTCTCGTGGTAACAATTTATCGATACTCGAATTCGATAATTTTCAATTTGATTTTTGCTTTTTGGTTTTGGTCGTACGCTAACTTCCCCCTCCTCTGAAAAGAACAATAAAATCGAGGCGCGTATGATCATAAGTTGGAAACGTCCGTTGTGCAAATAAACTTGGCCCAATAAATAATCGTAGACCGATTATACTGTTCACTGGTTACGCGCGAACAAAGGTGGCGCACAAGATGGCCGTGTATACGATTATTGCGTTTGGCCTGGCTCCACTTTCGATAGAAGTTATATTATCATTTTCCAGAGCAAAGCCCGTTTTTGAAAAAACCGAGAGAAAAATCAGATGTCGAATTAGAAAGAAACATTAGGAATACGGCTATCTACAACCCGATCTTCTTCTACAATTTGCTCTTCTCCTTCTTTTTTTGCATATATCGTTTCGACCAGATATTCATTCTAACGTTTTTTGCTAATCTTTTTTTTCTACGAGATTCCATTTCTTGCGCGCCATCCATCTTCTTCCCGCCATCCTTTTTTCTCTTCTTTTCCACCGATGATTGGCCCGATTCCAAGACCAACAGATAGTTCGACGCGGAGACTAGACTGCGATCGACAGCACAAGACGCTTTATTTCAAGATACGAAAGTTCGGCCGCTCCGCTTCCGGAATCCGCGCTGTCTCTTCGTGCCGAGAGTATTCCATTCGAATCTCGGATTCGTTTGGTGGGGACGGACGTGGCCCTCCTCCATCGACTTAAGCTTTTCTTTCATCGTGCAATTTCCTTTTTCTTCTCCTGTGAATTCGCGCGGCGAATTTCGAGAAATTGGTGTGTTAAAAGTGAAGTTGAACTTCAGTTTCTCCTCTCCCTTATTTGGATTGGAAATCTTATTACTTTGTAATTTTTCTAGGAATTATTTAAGGAAATTTAATTTATCTGCGCTTGAAATATAATTAAATTTCATCAAAAAATTAATTATCTCTCAGAGGATCATTTGCGTGTGAGATAATAAAAAGTTTAATATAACTTGTTCAAACAAAATCATTACCATCTTTTCATCTTTCGTACAATGATCGAGCAAATAATTTAGGAATTTAAGTTTTGACTCTCAAGCTTAAGATGAGCTTAAGAAAAAATTGATCAAAAAAATTGAATAAACGAAAATATCATAAACTTACTGACAAATCTATTCGAAATCAATTTTTACTTGAGAAATTCGGGAGAGGTGGCCACGAATTTCGATTTACCCAAACGACGTCGATGACGGGATGTCGAACGCAACGAGTAGGAATAATCATGGTGGAAATGGATCATCTTCGCCGGTGTCTTCGTTTATTCTTCGGCCAGGCCGTAGTCCTCGTCCCGTAGGAAGGAAAGCTCGGAAACGGACTGTACTGATCGTTGCTCTAAAGATATCGCTGCGTCCACACCGCCAGGAATAGAAACGTGACGTCGTTGTTCGTCGACCAGCGAATGCTAACTCTTCGGTTCGTCGTACACCGACAATCAGCCAATGGGATACGAGTTCGAGGCCACCGATTTCTAACGATACCCAACCCCGTGGCTCTGATTTTATCCCAGACGCTTCCCCCTTTTCCACGATGATCGACGAGATTTATGCGAAATCTTCTGACGGTTGATTGTTAATTATCTCATCCGTTTCGAAGCGTGTGATTTTTGAAATTTACGAGATCGATCGAAGAGGATCTCGTATTATTGGAATAAAGTGGAATATTTTTGTTTCGGAGGAAGTTTTATCGTTCTCCTCCTCGCTTCTTCCTCTTTTCGATCGATTAATCATCTAGTTTGTTTCAATTTCAATGATTGTAAAACATTTGAAGATCGAGATATTTATTTTCGAGGAGAGATGATTTCATTTCATTCGTACAATCCTGTTTTTTTTCTTTTCTTTTTTTTTTTTTAAGGATTTTAATTCTGATTAAGAGTTAAGCTTGTTCAAAATTATGTTCGATTAGAATTAAGCAATTTTAGATTGAATGCAAATAAAGAAGTCCTCTCTTTGCACCGTTTGACGTATCCCCAACGTATCATTACGATTCAATTAAATTGAATCCGCACGATTAAATATTGATATATATATATATATTTCAAAATCTATCTATAAAAAAAACTATAATCCTATTTTTTCATTACTTATGATTACAAACGATAATCAAACAATTATAATTATTTCAGAAAAATTTTCCATTCTCCAACGTTCTCCAACCCCAAAGGGATGAAGTTTTTCTAAAACGCAGTGGCTACGGCAATAAAATTTATCACCGAGCTGTATTTCTTCGTTCCTGGCCTCTTAAAATTCGAGCCCCTGTTCGCGAAGAAAAGAAGACGAAATCGAAGAGAGGCGAGGAAGAGCGGGGGTGTGAAAAAATAATAGGGGGATGACACCGGTGCGTACAGAGCCGATAAAAATCGTTGACAACAAGCCGTGCCGTAAATTTCTCGGGGGGAGGGGAAGGGGAGGGGAGGAGAAAGAATTATTGCTATCCGGATAAAGGCAAGGAAACAACGACGATCCTGACCAAAAGTGCATGCATGCAGCGCACGTGGAGACAACCCCAAGTTGCGGGGAGATGTGGCGTTACTGACATTAACTTACGCTACTTTTGCTCTTCTTCGTTCTTCCCTCTCCTCTCGAGCGTGACTCAACGTGAAAGGGTAAAAAAGAAAAAAGAGGAAGAAGGAAAGAAAAAAGTCCGATGGACCGAGATGGAAACACGGTGACAAAGGAAACTGAACGCTACGACTTAATCCGCGTCTTTGACGAATTCTTTCATCTTTGTCGATTGTTGTTGAATTAGAGGAACGTGTGAAACGATAAATTCGAGATTTATTACGCGTTGTAGAAGGATCTAACAGATTCAATTAATTCAATTAAGAGCAGTATACGACAAGTTTGAACTTGTATTATTATTACCACTAATTTGTAGGAATAAACGAATTTTTGAATATGCTTGATTCGTGCAGAAAATTTCTGTTCTGTAGAGAAAGGGCTCTATCTATCTTTTAAGTGCTAAGTTGTTTGAAAAAGAAGAATCACGAGACATTAAAAGACTTCTTTTTGGATTAATGATGGATTTACTTACATAACGCAGGGGTGATTCACGGTGGGAATACGGTGGTACGATAGGAGGGTCGTATTCCAAGTATGAGGGCGTCGTTAATCAGACGTGACGCATCTTCCAGAAATCCGTGCAATTGGAAAACTAAAATCGTATAGGAACAAGACGGATAGCGGTCTGGCCGAGTGTCGCCTACTCATCTCTCAAGCAGGAAGCGGACGAACTCCGTCAAAATAGCTGCGAACCCATTACCATTCATTAGCACGAATTTCTATTCCCTTCTAGAAAACCCTTTCCATTAATTCTAATATTGCCAACTCTGAAAGATCTCGATATTATCTCGTAATTGAGCAAGAAAAATCTTAAAAAATATAATCATAAGTAAAATTCCATTAACTGAATTGCAATTATTTTTATTTTTCAGAAAGCATCTTCTGGAAAATCTTTTCCATCTAATATTGCGAACTCTAATTTTAGTCAAAATTGTAATTATCTGTGGTCTCAAAAAGTTATAATCAATAAGGGACGATGAAACGACGAAGCACTTATAAAATAACGAAATAAAAATAGATGAGTCTGCCTATAATTATAGAAGATGAATCAATAAGAAACTAATAAAGAATTCGAATATTTCCGACATTTTATAGATATTGTACCACTTTTCTCATTTTTCAAATGATTCTATAAACGATTCTAAGAAATTTATTTAGCATAAAAAAACGTCGTTCCCAATAACTTCTCTCTCGAAATCTAAATTCTACCCTCCTATCCTTTATTTTTATCACTTTCGATATATCATTTCCTAAACGCACGCATCCTTTACGGGAAATCGAGAAGCTCGTTCAAGAAACGTTATAACTTATCCATAATTGCACGATGACGACGATGAACGAAAAGTATCCGAGCATTTATCCTATTAATCAAAATCCAACCTGCTATATTTCTTTCCGTTTCGTCGTTTCTTTTCGATCGGAAGACTTCACCAGGATTGTCTCTGGCCCGGAGACAAATTGCGCGATCCCTGCGTTAAATTAAAAATCACTCGAGCTTCACAAGCGGGGGAGGGGCACACAGCCGCGTCTCATTAAATTTATACACGGCGTTTCGCATTCTTGCTCGGCTTACGTAGCGTCCAATTAAACGTTTGATATAGGGTGGGCCCCTGTGTTTTGACTTTTCGACCGACATCGCGCGACACTCGCGCCACCGGCAAAAATAATCCGCTCGAAGGGGGATTCACCAAGGGAGGAGAGAATTCGCGAGACGAGGAACTGGATTCCTCTTCTCGGGCAGAAAAGGGGGAGAATTAAGGGGAGAGGAGATAAGTCTGGACGCCAAGGCCACCCCCTTTTTTCTCTTCCTCGCCAGAAGGAAAGTGTCGACAAAGTCGTTACGCGTCCTTCTTCCTTGATAGTTTTATCACTGGCTGCGGTTAAGCTGTTCCGAGACACACGCCGCTCTCTTACTTATCATTCCAGTCTCGTAACGTTTACCCGTTGAATTTTAGGCGATTAATTTTAGGTTGGAGAGTTGTGCGTGTTGTGTTTGTTGTGGATGAGTTTATGGGGGATGGATCAAGCTTGTTTTACTTCGGTGAAGA